CATTCTGTATACAGTGTTGTACATTTCCTTTTTCACACTGTCTCAGCTTGTATTGCCTGTGCTAATAGCTCTCCTGATACCTAGCCTTCATTTAAGCCCCAGGGTCTGGTGTTATACTGTTAGATGAACTAATATAGTGTAAAATCAGAGGCTGACAAACACAGTGACAGTTGCAAATGTCTATAATCCAAGGTAATAAAATGGCAATATAGTATGTTACCAATAGATCAAATTGCAAACAATTAGCTTAAAGTAAACCTGAGCAATCCAAACTGAGCATATGAAAAAATGCATAAGCAGAAGTTACCTTCAGGGACAACTGTAAGTCAAAATAATCTGGAGACCCAGGGATACAAGCTGATGAAGACATATGGAAATCTCAACTTTATATGTACAAGCTTTGTTTGACCCAACCAGTTCCCAACCATATATCCCCTATTGGTAAAGGAGGCTGCCCATCATAATACAGTAAAATACTAATAAGGTTTAAAGGGAATGTGGCTTGACTGTTAAAAATTCAGATGTTTCTAACTCTGGATATGCTAACAATTTTGAGATGTGGTTTCCATTGAAGGTAACCTATGTTTTTGTGTTATTTCATGAAGCAGTCTACAGGTACATACATTTTAACTAAAAATGGTTACGATCAAGGTTGTCTGTTAAAAGTACCGGTACCCATTTAGGCCCTGTATAAGCCCTTATCACATTAGTGCCTACAGGGAGTACTGGCTGCTCATGCCAAACTCACATACCTTACCCTCCTGGACACACTGTGAGAAAGGTTTTTTAATAAGCTGATAAGCTTTTGCTTTGCATTAAAATTAACTAGTTGCAGTGCCAGTTTACATTAAAGCTGTTTCCCTCATTCCTATCTGTAAAGCGGGAGAGCATCAAAGTATCAGGATAAACAAGAAATGGAACTCAGAATCTTACAATTTAGTACAGTAACACAGACCATTCTTCCATTTCACCTGCAGTAGGTGCTGCTATAGTGTCTCTGAACATGTGGTTTTTTAAAATAATAATTGTGTTCTGGGAGCCCAATTTCTGCCAATAAAATATAAACAGCAAAAGAAAGTATGGATGAAACATGTTCGTCTGTCTTTAAATGCATATTTAAACAGCTTTCATGCTGTGCAGAAAATTAATCCTCAGATGCTATACACTGGGCAAATTATACAGAAACCATAGCAGACAAACAAAGCAAATAATTCACAAACATTATATACCGCTCAAAAGGCCTTTCTGCCAGAACTTTTAGGGCTTACATGATCATATGCCAGCAGTGTGGAGCAGAAGCCATAGTAGTTCAGCTTCTTCATTGCAGATCCATACAGGGAAAATGGGAAGCACCAGAGAGTGGTATGATGCTTTGTTGTGCATCCTCTTAAGGTGAGGGTGGGACAGTAAAAACTTTGCAGTGGCACCAAAGGTGCTGTTTCTACACCACTGTACCCTGAAATACTTACAAGGAACACTGAGGTCTAACTACTGTATACAAAAACTGTGACCTGTATCACCTATTGCATCTTCATGTTTTGGGGGTTTATTTCTATCTATTTCCCCATGTATTTCTATACAAAACAAAAATAAATATAAAAAAAAATCTAAAAGATGAATAGAAATAGCAATTTCCACTCCGAAAAAGATTTTGTAGACAGGGGAATAAGCACTGAACTTGCCATACGATATCCCTTTAACTTTAAGGATGCAATGCTTAGTTATGCTCTATGGCTTTCTTTTGTAAATATTCAATATGCGCTCAGTAATTATTAGCACAAGGATGAAAAGTAAAAGGAACAGTGGTTGTGGGTGTTATAGAGATATACAAGGTCTGAAATCTTGAAAGCACAGACAGTCCTGTACCACATCATTAAGGGACATTAGTAGAAAATCGTCTGCAGCAGACTATTATTATTGTTTACTTCAGGAATAAAAAGTCAGAAGAATAGTATGAATCTTTCACAGCCTATAATAATGGCTGGGTATGACCTGCGGTAACTAAGTCACTCTGACCGTAAAGTGTGAGACCTTCAGTGCATTTTAATTATTTCTTGCAAGTGCATTTTAGGCAATGTGACACATGAGCACAAAACAACTTGTCCCCAATCATCTGTGCAGATATTAGCAGGTTGTAACAGACAAGTAGGAGCTCAGATATGCTGTATATATTCACTTTCAAAGACTAATGAGCCTGTTCTAATAGTACCTGAAAAGGGATCAAAGCTAAGTTAGACCTGCCAACATGAAATGCTCCTCTGGAGAACTAAGGTCCCTGGGACGTTTGCACCTTTGTGATTTCTTCAATTTGCCATCTGATCTTCAATTTTGTATCATGAATATTTTGCTCTTAGATGTTTCAGGGATTCATTAGTGGAGTCACTTTAAATATGAATAACTATCTGAGAACATTAGCAGAAACCAAGGAACAAGTGAAGATTGTCTAGTGCACTAAAGAGTACTTTTGTTCAAAAGAGGATGCTGCGTGTACTTTTTAGCAGCACTTCCAATCACTCAAACACTGCCAGATGCTACACTTAACACTGCTAAAATGACTTTTATGGGTTATGTAGAAATACACCAAAAATTCAAATAAATTGGTTCTATTACCAACGGCCCAGAAATATAAAAAAAATGGAGGTAAAGTAGTTTGAGCATGAGTCAGTGCGAAATCTGGCAATCTTTGATTGTGATTGGTTGTCATTAACCTTCTATTGTTATACATGGCTGCAGGCTCAGTAACCACAGAAGTGCTGGTTTATATCTGTGACTGAATATGCTGCAATACTCTAGTCTCCTATGTTGCTGGATTGTATGTGTCTTTTCTATATGTCTGTGAAATGTTTTAGCAACAAAAGTTCTAATCGAGAAGTATGAAAAAAGTTGGAGATTCGTCAAAGCACACTGTTGAGTCATAATTAAACACATTTCACTAAGAATTACTTAAATTTACTCAAAGAATGACACTAAAACTGCAATAAAGCATTCCTACAATGCAAATTAAAAAAACTACACATTTAAAGAGCATGAATTATAATCTGAACTTCTGTATAATTATTCCCACTTGCAACAATGTCCACCTGACCAGGCCCGAACCAAGAAAAAGAATCAGCATGATTGATACATCTGGGGTATTTTCTTACATAAATGTGGAGTGAACTGTTCTGTCAGTCACAATGATGTAACAGAATGTAACAATTTATAAGTGTCTTAAATTTTTTACAAGTGTTACTGTCCATATACTGTCAAAGCACATGCTGAACGAGATGCTATGACCTATGTTGGGTAATACCTATTCTGGAAAAGAACTCTGTCCTGTTATTATTATAACGATAGTGTAACAGATATATTATTGGCATAGGAGAACAGGCAATAGTATTAGAGAATAAGATTAAAAAAATATTTGTTTTGATGGTATCACATACCAAATGAGTTGACCTAAAGGAAACTTAAATTGGCACTAAACTCAGGAGTCAAATCTTAAAAATGCATTCAAGTACATGTGCTAGCAAGCTGTGTGTGTCTCCACAAACACACATACACAGCAAGGCAAGACTCCCTCATCCTCCCCCTCTCCCTCCTCCTTTCACCCAGCTAGTAGATAGACAGTTGCTAGAGACTGCTCTGTCCCTTGTGATCTTGTACTGGACAGGAAGTTAAGGGAAGCCAAACTGAGTCAGCTGGTTGGAGTCAGCTGTTCAGAAACATGATGACTATAAAGGCTTGGACAAAAATTGAAAAGTGTATTAGTTTGATCTGGATTCATTATTCAAAACAAGTTTAAGAGTTTAATACTTCTTTAAGGCAGGCTGATCCAGCTTACAAGGTCAACTGTGGGTTAGATCAACTTGTCAATGAGCTCCTAAAGATCTCAGAAGTGTTTTGAACTGATTTTGAAATGAAGGCTAAATGTACCAGAAAGCATGCTGCACATACCTATCAATAGACGTCCAAAGTCCCTCAACACTAACCCAAAGAATAAAAACTAGAGCCACTCAGCAAGGAGCATTTTACTCCCTTTTTAAAAATTTTAATCAGTTTAATGAAAAATGTTTATCTTGGGACTATAGCTTTCAGTATTCATATTAGCCCAATATTACCCATATAGTTGTTGGATAGCCCTGTGTCACAATTCTCAACTAACCTGTATCAATCGCAGTGGTCCTCACACTAGCAACATGTCAGTACTTGGCACTATTGTCAGTGACTTGTGTCCTGTGACTTCCCCGCATGAAAATAGTGAGGCCTCTTGCACATGTCTCATGGCATCCTTACATTCAAATGGCAGCACTTAAGTGCTTCCTGTTATAGACAGAAATTGCATCCCTTCTGCTATACCTCCTGACATCACTTCCTGTTTGATCACTATAAATCTGGAAGGTTCCAGAGAGAGAGTGCTCAGTTGTTTCAGAGCTATCCACATGGTGTTCCAGTTGCTAGCCGTGTGATTCCGATACCTGACCTGTGCTACGTTTATCGACTCTGATCCTTTGCTGCCTGCCCTGACTTTATTCTTCGTTTGACTATGATTACTGGATTTACCCTTTTGTACCACCTATTTGGAATCTGTGCCTGATTCATCTCTTGAGTACGCTATCCCAAGGTGTGTGTCCCTGCTATTGGGCTCTGCATATCCAATTACTGACACCCTGTCTATAGGGCAGTGATGTTAATATGAGTAAAGGAATTATTAACTACATAGCTCAATCAAACTGTAAGACTTAAAAATCATTTTTGCTGCTTTCCAAGAAAACCCATTGATCAATTGGGTATATGTTTTGGAGACTTATTGAAACAATTAAGAGAATACATTTTGACAGTTGCTATACAATAAAGAACAATGATCTAGCTATCACCTTATCCTAAAAATGAATGCATCTATCATGAATTCCACAAAGTTTATTTTGTTTCTATAATGTACAATTATTTGACAAATCCTGTATAAAGACGACAGCTGTGCACAAGTCAGAGACAGAAAATTAACAAAACATGTACTATACCATGGCTATAGGAACGATCCCTGTAAATGCTGCCTGGCTGACAAAGATTTCGGAAATCACAAGTTCACTAACAGAGTCTTCCTCTGGGTATTCCACCTGCCATGTAATCTGCTGGGCTCCAGCCAAGCCACTGCTGATGTCCATTTCAAAGTCCATCTGCAGAATTTCATAAAGCGAGTCGTTGGCTCTGAAAGAAATTGAGAAAATGTCACTGCTTGAACATAGCTCCCACAAGCATAAATAACAGCCTAACCTCGTGGTAATGAATTAGCATGGATGTTCTATCTTTACTGCAGTGATCAAAGCATAAATCATCTAATCAATTCTGCAATAGCTCTAATTTATCACAGGTGACTCATGGGCCTTTTTTCTATACCTGCCTGAAAGAAGCAATCTTTCTAATTAGTGTGCTTGCCACACTTTCCTATTAGGAGTCAAGCAACACATTCTCAGAAGGCCTTGAGACATCAGCACCTTTTCCAATGTAATTGTTACTAGAAAGTCTTGTCTGACTTGTTTGGGAAGTCTTCTTTTATCATCTTTCAAGTACAGTTTGAATCTGTCTCTCATCACTTGTCACTCCAAAAGTCAGACAGCATGCAGTGCTACTATATCAATTATTAAATGGTAAGAAGCATTTGTGGTACACAACTGCTGCAGTTCCCAGAATTTCTCTGGAGTTTATTGTAATTTCTACGGGCCTTAATGGTTATGGAAGCCACAGAGTGATGGGGTCAGGACATAAATTGCAATTATATCATCACATATGCATATGAGAAGCTTTAGCACATGGTTTATATGCCTAGGCAGCCTTTCAATAACCATCCCATATTGCAGGGTTCATAGGATCCCTCCTTTTGCCAAGTTTCTCTTCTGAATTAGTTCTTCAAACACTGCGAGAATTTTGCATAATGTATCCACTGTTAGGTAGATGATATGATAAAGACTCCGCATGCATGGTTAGTCTTAGATAGACTGTAAGATACATATCTATTAATGGACTGTAAGCTCTTGTGCACACAACTATTCTAGAGGACTGTAATTTCCATAATAAGCATTCTTTCCTGATCAACTATTAAGACTAAATACAGATATGGGTACACAAGTGAACCTTCATGGATTCCAGGACTGCTTAAAAGTGGCAATATGTCACTTCTTGTATCAAGACGAAAAATGCCTCTAGCACACATGTGCACCATTTTTTTCACCATATGCTTGTAACAATAATCATTATGCCAATTCAAAGACATTAGGGAATATTCAGTGACCTTTTATTTAACTGCATAATACATGGTGCACAGTGCCACAAAACACAGTAGCCAACCAGAAATCATATTTGATTCTAATTTATGAAAGCTGACACATGACTGGCTAATGTTTAATGCATGCAACTGTGAGACATATGTATCAGTAGGTATAAGGTTCAGGTTTGTGGAAAATGCCTAGTGTTTCCTGGTTTCATATATCATGAACTTTTTAACACAAACGTTTCAAGTTCGTCGCCACAAATAATCAACAACCACTAATGCAATGCTTAGCTTTAGCCTCTGGCCAGTTGAGTCATAAAACCTAATAATTTAAAGGAATAGATCCCCAGGCTCCTCATAAAAAGGTGGGCTTGCAGCAGCCATTTTGTCAATGTGTTCTTAGGGAGAGTTGAAAATTATATATAGGAGGAGATACTGTGTTTTTTTTATTTTGACATTGTTACATTACTACCATGGCGGTGCCCTCCTTTCCATGTTTTTTTGTTTTACAATAGCTTACTTATTAGCACCTAAAATGGCCAGAATCGATTATCAAGATCGCCCCCTCCACCCCCAAAGACTTCAATAGGGATTGCCGCCTCGTTAGTTAACATTGGGCAAGATTTGCAAACTGAACCCAAAGCTCACTCATCCCTGTTAATTAGTAAACTTCAGTCAGTCTTATTTAATAATGCAAAAATCAAAATAAAGTAACAAGTAGTAACTGATTTACTGTCCTGAATACCATAAATCTTACTAAGTGCCAGTATATGTCTGGTCTACAACACAGTTTTGAATCCTTCCATCTTTGCTTCTATGCTTACTGTGCAGCATTTACAGCTCCCAGCTTTCTGCAATTGGTTTAGAATAATCACATGCAATTAAGGTTCATGTTTGCCTACATAAACCAAATATTTAAAAAAAAAAATGCCAACGGCATTCTTGTTATGGGAAGGGCTAAGATGTTATAGGTGATTTTAGTTAAGAAATGTCTATTATGAACTGTACGTTGTAGTTAAACTTTGAGATTGTACTATTAGAGTTATGTTTTGTATGACAGGTACACTAAATGTGTCCTAGACCTGGAAACTCTTAAATATTCTGTTTCTTTAAGTCACAATAAGTTAATGTGTATTCTTTTGTGGCCCATTGCTGGCTGTCCATAAGACTCTCCACATGTCTTATAGACATTTTCCACACAGCTGTGGAAATAGAGCTTTGGGAATATCACCTAGTTTGTGAGCAAACTAAAGTGAGGCAGTTAATGAAGTCCATGAAATCTCTAACCATGTTGCCCTAAAGGTCCTTAAAAAAGGCTTTTCACAAAAAAAACACACTCAAAACATACAGTATATAGTGAGGAAAATAATTATTTGATCCCCAGCAGATTTTGTAAGTTTGCCCGCTTACAAAGAAATGAAAGGACAAATAATTTTTTTAATCATAGGTGTATTTTAAATGATACAGGCAGCATATCAAACAAAAATCCAGAAAAAACACAAATGTTATAAATTGAGTTGCAGTTCAGGGAGTAAAATAAGTATTTGATACCAACCAACAATAATTCTGGCTCCCACAGACTGGCTCTAAGGTACACAGATTAGTCCTGTCACTTTAAGAAGGTGCTCCTAACGACAACTAGTTATGTATATAAAAGCCACCTGTCCACATAATCTGTTTCTTCCATTCAAACCTCACCACCATGGGCAAGACCAAAGAGCTGTCAAAGGACATTAGGGACCAGATTGTAGACCTGCACAAGGCTGGAATGGGCTACAAGACTATCAGCAAGAAGCTTGGTGAGAAGGAAACAACTGTTGGAACGATTTTTCGCAAATGGAAGGAATACAAAATAACCATCAATTGCCCTCGGTCTGGAGCTCCATGCAAGATTTCCCCTCATGGGGTAAGGATGATCAGGAGAAAAGTGAGGTATCAGCCCAGAACTACACGTGGGGAGCTTGTGAATGATTTTAAGGCAGTTGGGACCAAAGTCACCTCAGGGTAGAAGTGCTTAAAACGGGGCGTGATGTTTAGTAGCTTCCTCCTCGCCGTAAAACCATACTTGGCTTAAGCGGTGGAGCTACACTCTGATACCCGTCTCTCAGAGAGAAATTCCAATCTGCATCTGTGGTCCATTGAACAGTTAAAACCCCAGGCAGGGTGTTACACCGGGTTGTTTGGGTTGGCTCTCCGGCAGTAGGGGTGCTTGTAGTAGGATAAATATTGATGTATTTATTACTAGATCCATATGATTATTATAGGCACCTCCATATTTTGCTGATGAAGCCTTGAGCGAAACGTGTCGAAACTGGACACATCATACCATAGATCTACTGAACATTTATGGATGAATATATTATTTATGCAATTATATAAAGAGATATTTAAGGAGATATATGTTAATAAGTTATTGTCATATACACAGTATGTATCTATATGTGATCCAGGGAGGTTTTGTACCATTTAATGATATCGCTAATTTGTCATCTTTGTTAATTATGTATTTTAATAAAGAATATATATATTTTTATACATTAAGTGACTTGTTTGTGTAATTTTGAACTGGGTCTCCTTGCATTTGATAAATTACACTTTTAAAGCCCCATTTCTCTATTTTGTTTTTGTATTCTGTATACCTAGGGGTGTGGTGTCCTTGTTCGTGTGGTGATTCGCAATTTTGTGTACAATATATTAGGGATATCCGATACCATTTTTTCAAGACCAAGTATTTTCCATCAGGTACTCGCCGATACCAATTACTGATATGTGACATATGACATGTGACATTTTTTCTAAAACAATACAGACTTATGATTTTAGGGGAGTGTCTCACCAGGGCTGCGTACAGATCTCACCAGAGCTGCGTACAGATCTCACCAGAGCTGCGTACAGATCTCACCAGAGCTGCGTACAAACCTCACCAGAGCTAAATACAGATCTCTCCAGAGCTGGGCACAGACCTCCTTAGAGCTACATACAGATCTCCCCAGAGATGAATACAGATCTCACCAGGCAGCGTACAGATCTCACCAGGCTGCGTACAGATCTCACCTGGCTGCATACAAATCTCACCAGAGCTGAAAACAAATCTCCCCAGGGCTGCGCACAGCTCTCCCCAGGGCTGCGCACAGCTCTCACCAGGGCTGCGTACAGATCTCACCCGAGCTGCGCACAGATCTCACCAGAGCTGCGTACAGATCTCACCAGAGCTGAATACAGATGCCCCCAGAGCTGTGTGCAGATCTCACCAGGCTGTGCGCAGATCTCACCAGGCTGCATACAGATCTCACCAGACTGCACACATATCTCACCAGAGCTGAATACAGGTCTCACCAGGCTGCATACAGATCTCACCAGAGCTGAATACAGATCTCACCAGGCTGCATACAGATCTCACCGGGCTGCGTACAGATCCCACCAGGCTGTGTACAGATCTCACCAGAGCTGGATGCAGATCCCACCAGGCTGTGTACAGATCTCAGCAGAGCTGAATACAGAGCTAACCAGAGCTGCGTACAGATCTCACCAGAGCTGCGTACAGATCTCACCAAATCTGAATACAGATTTCACCAGGCTGCATACAGATCTCACCAGAGCTGAATACAGATCTCACCATGGATGCATAATTCTAATTTGTTGGCATGGGTTAACTCACCAGACCATTCTGTGAATTATGGATTTGGACTGGGTTTGTGAATTACAAAGAATCATTAACAATATTGCTATTGTGCTGGAGTGTGTTTTAGAAAGGACTCAGATATATGTACTAAATAAATATTTATTTATTTGTTTGAATTATTTGTTAATGATTTTATATTGAACTATGGGATTTTTTATAATAATTCAAACAAATAAATAAATATTTATTTAGTACATATATCTGAGTCCTTTCTAAAACACACTCCAGCACAATAGCAATATTGTTAATGATTCTTTG